CACACACACACACACACACACACACACACACACACACACACACACACACACAGAAACACACACCTCTGGGTTCTGAGTCTTTGTTTCTCGTGTCAATCTCTCTCCGCTGTGAACAAAACAATCACTTACCCTCCTGTGTTTTCATTCAACTCGGAAAAATCGAATCATTTCTCRTCACGTCTGTGTGAACGCCGAGTCAGCGTCTCTGTTTGTTGTTCTTTTTTTTTAAATCTTTCGATACGTTTCTTTTTACTGCGGCACACTTTGTGCTATTTCAGCTGTTTCTGTGTCAAAACGTTCGGCTCGTTCAGGAGGCAGCTGTCGTGACGTTTKTTTTTTTCCTCCAGATCTCATTTTTAAATTATTGCTCTCTGAAATTTGCTTCAGCTGTGGGCTCTGTCAGTATATTTTAGCTTTTAGCTGTTAGCTAGTGATAGCTGTTAAATGGCTTTTCTCTACTTTGCTGCTTTTAACTTTTATATATCATTTTGCAACTTTTATAACCTTCTGACAATTTTAGCTAATGTGTTGATACTTTTAGCTTCTAGCTAGGTAGTTGCTACTTTTGGCAATGTGCGAATGTTTTATTCTTTTAGCTTTTAGCTAGCTATTTGTTACTTTAATTAGCATCTTGCTGCTTTCAACTTGTAGCTACATTTGCTACTTTTAGCTTCTTGCTAATTATTTGATATTTTTAACTAGCAGCTTTCTACTTTTAGCATTTGGCTACCCTTTTGCTACTTTTAGCTGTTTGGTGGCCTTTTGTTACTTTTTGTCCCTTGTACTTTTTGTGACTAGAGGCTAAATCACCTGCATTGCTCTGGGCACGCCCACCTCCACCTGTCTCCTGTTTTACCAGCCACAGCTGCAACCACTCCACCCATCGGACCTTTTAGTCCCTCGGTTCTGTCTGCTGCACCAGTTCTTGGTTCTAAACCGTTTCCTCCTGTAAGTAGTTGTTTTTCTGCCACACCAGTCTTTTGTTTTGAAGAAAGTAAGTTTTGTTTTTGAGCTGCTGGAGTCGGCTGCACGTCCAGTTCCTCCACAACCACGTTAGAACCGTTTAAAACCCAACCATTTAAATCTTTTCTCTTCATCTAAATTTCAAACTGGTTATTATTCATATTTTTTAAATCATTTAAAGCTTCTTGTTGTTGCCTGAAACTAAAAAGTGCCAAATTATTTAGAAAAAAAACTTAAAATAAAAGAGACTAATTTCCTCGGCGCTGCAGGTTTTCCCTCCGTTTCAAAGGTTTCTTTCAGCTGCTGCCTGGTTACTGCAGCTCTTCATCAGTCCTCTTTGTGAGGCAGACTTTTGTTTTAGTTCTTTACTGTCTCGGCTTTTTATCCACGTCTGACAGGAGCTTTGTGCGTTCGAACATCCTTCCTTTTGTTGTTGTGGATAATTAAGCGTTCATCTGCAGGTATTCATGAAGGAGAAAAACCTGAACAAACTTTCTGACAAAACTTCAAGCTTATAGTTTAAACTGTAAAATAAAATGTTAAATATGTCACTAACACTTTTTTATTGTTTAGCTCACTTTGAGTGTAAAAACAGTTTATTGTTATTTAGCTCACTGTAATAGTAGTAGTATTAGTTTGCTAATTTTTATTCAATACTATTTTTAAATCTAAAATTTTATATCTAAATATTAAATCCTAAATCTAAATGTGTAAATCTGAATGTAAAACTAATGTGATGTAAATGATGCAGCTAAATGTTAAAGTTAACTTTTAAGACTTTCAGAAAGGAAAGCACTGTTGTTGCTTGACTTTTGTTGTGATGTCATCATCCTGCGACAAAACTGCAAAAGCTGCTAATACTGCTAATGCTATTAACTCTGCTAACACTGCTAATACTTCTATCGCTGCTAACATTTTACCACTGCTAATATTAATTGCTAATGCTGCTTACACTGCTAACACTGCTAACACTGTTAACGCTGCTAACACTGTTAACACTGCTAACACTGTTAACACTGCTAATACTGTTGTCACTGCAGACACTTTTCCACTACTAATACAAACATTGCTAATGCTGCTTACGCTGCTAATACTGCTAACGCTTCTTACGCTGCTAACATTGTTAACACTGCTATCGTTGCTAACACTTTACCACTGCTAATACAAACGCTGCTAACACTGTTAACACTGCTAATACTTCAGTCGCTGCTAACAACATTACCGCTCCTTATACGGTATGAACATTGCTAAAGCTGTTTATGCTGCTAACTGTTAACATTGCTAATACTGCTAATGCTAACTTTGCTAATGCTGCTAATACTGCTAATGCTGCTAACACTGCTAACTCTTCTAATGCTGCTAAAGTTGTTAATACTGCTAACACTGTTAGTGCTGCTACCTGCTAACACTGCTAACGCTGTTAACTCTGTTAAATTTACCTGAATGTAAAGAAGAGTGGGCCAAATAATCCACCACAACCACGTGAGCAAACATTTACACAAATCTCTGTCTCACCTGTCACGCTGATCCAGGTCGCTTGTGGCATCGGAGGAGGAACCGGCGCAGACAGAGTCTGAGGAGGGCAGATCTCCCTCGGCAGCTGTGACAGAGTCGGCGGCACAGGCAGGAACCCAGAGGGGGCGTGGCAGCTGAGCGGCTCCATCTCCACGGAGCGCAGACACTGTTCTCTGAGCCGCTCCTCGTGGCGCCGCTTCAGCCTCCGTTGCAGGAAGCTGCAGAAACAGCAGAGCATGACGACGAGGGCCCAGATCAACCAGAAGCCGGCGAAACAGGCCAGGAAGGTGTAGGTGCCCTGTGACATCACCATGGCGCTGACCGGAGATCAGCGGGACCCCTCCCCCCACAAGGATGGGAGGAACCGTTTATTAAAGTTTGACTCAAAGTTCTTGACTTACAGGGAGTTAAAATTAATAATAAAATTTAAAGAAATATTCAGGTTGAGCTTCTGAAGAATCAAACCACGGTTCAACCAGACGGAGCAAAAATGATCAGTTTCAAGCAAAAATCTTGATATTTTCTTATTTTTAGTTGTAAACATTACATGTTGATCTTCATCTTGTAGGTGACTGATCTGGTTCTTGGATCAGGAATGTAAAACCTGGATCAGTTCCTGTTGAAGGTGCCTCAGCAGCAGCAGGTTTCTGCTCTTACTCCTTAACATTCGACGGCAGCAGAGGACAAAAAATAAAATAAAAAACGGCTTTGTCCAAAGCAGAAGACCAGCTCTGAGAAAAGAAGCTGAACTGAGGCGGCGTCCAATCAGAAGCGCCAAAATAAACAGAACTGATGTTCACGTCCACAACAGCTGGTCCCTGCAGGGAGTCAGGGGCCCAGATTCTTCAGCTTCAGGTCCCCTCCAGACTCTTGGACATCTGCGAAGACACAGGAGGACAAATTCAAAACTACAGCCGAGGAATAGGCAAACAGAAAATATTCACTGGAAATAAGAAGACATTAATCCTGTTTGTCGATTCAAGATGGCTGCCACAGATAATAAACCTTAACTAACTTCAAGTAAACTAAAATGACTTAGTAACACATTTTTCTGTAAAAGCAGCTGGATTTAGTTGTTGTAGAATCTCTGAAAGCTGCAGACTGTTTGTTCAGATTTGAATCTTTATGGACAGAAGTTCCTGCAGGGTTTCGTGTCAACAACCCCAAACAGACAGACATTAATTAGAACACGGAACTCCATCTGTCAGGCTCTGGTTCCGAGCCGTGTGAACATTTGTGATGATATTTTTATACTGAAATGTCTGACTGTGTCTGGTGCTGCGGAGCATCAACAGTAACGTGAGGAAAAAATAAAACCTTACTGTGATTCTAAGACCATGAGCAGGCACTAGTCTCTTAGCTAAAAGCTTGTTTTCTATCAATCAAAAACTGTATTGCATCACAATTAATCGTAGACTGAATCGTCTCAAACTCACTAGAATGTATTGCATTGGTATCGAAGCTGTATTGCATCAGGATTAATCAAAAGCTGCATCATATCACGATTAATCGAAGGCTGTATCGTATCACGATTAATCGAAGGCTGTATCGCATCACGAATAATCGAAGGCTGTATTGTATCATGATTAATCGAAGGCTGTATTGTATCACGATTAATCGAAGGCTGTATCGCATCACGATTAATCAAAGGCTGTATCGTATCACGATTAATCGAAGCTGTGTCGTATCATGATTAATCGAAGGCTGTATCGTATCACGATTAATCGAAGGCTCTTTGTATCATGATTAATCAAAACTGTATCGTATCACGATTAATCGAAGCTGTATCGTATCACGATTAATCGAAGGCTGTATCGTATCACGATTAATCGAAAGCTGTATTGTATCACGATTAATCGAAGGCTGTTTGTATCATGATTAATCGAAGCTGTATCGTTTCACGATTAATCGAAGGCTGTATCGTATCACGATTAATCGAAAGCTGTATCGTATCACGATTAATCGAAGCTGTATCGTATCACGATTAATCGAAGGCTGTATCGTATCATGATTAATCGAAAGCTGTATTGTATCACGGTTAATCGAAGCTGTATTGTATCACGATTAATCAAAGCTGTATTGTATCCCGATTATTGAAAAGCTGTATTGTATCACGATTAATTGAAAGCTGTATTGTATCACGATTAATCGAAGGCTGTATCGTCTCATGATTAATCGAAGCTGTATTGTATCACGATTAATCGAAGCTGTATTGTATCACGATTAATCGAAGGCTGTATCGTCTCATGATTAATCGAAGCTGTATCGTATCCCGATGATTAAAAAGCTGTATTGTATCACGATTAATCAAAAGCTGTATCGTTTCACGATTGATGGAAACCTGTATTGTATCAGGATCATTTGAAGGATGAATCGCACCAAATACTGTATAATCGAAGGCTGAATCATGATCTAACTTCTATCTTTTAAGCTCCTCCTGGATGACGGATMTTCTCTCAAGTCTCCTCCCCTCAGAAAGGAGCTCATTTCAGGATCTCATTTTTTTCTGTCACGATCCACTTTCAGAGGAAACAAAAATACTTTTGCAGAAAGCTGCAGAAACGATCCGTTTATCTGTTCCCATTGTTCCTCCTCCTGAGTTGACATTTTTCAGTCTGGAGCACCAGGTCCACTCAGCTGAAGTGTTTTTCCTCTCTGAGCCGGACGACATCACCGCCACGTTTCCAGCAGAGAGTGGAAGTGTTGATGTTGTCGTCCGCCCCTGCAGCACCTCTGGGACTCACACTCTGCCGTCTGTCATAATTTAAAATTATTCAGCGGCCCTGACTCATCAGCCGACGTCCAAACAGATGCCGAGGTTTCAATCTGCCGAATGGAGTGGACCTTTTGTTCGACAGTCAAAACAAAAACTGTTGATCGTGATACGATGAACAGTTCAGAGTTCAAACAGAATGATAATCTGTTCTGAAACAACRATGCCATTTGAGCCTCTTTAGTCAAACCTTGTATTTAACATTATGTGAGATCAAACAGTTAGCACTCACAGTATGTGATGGGGATGACTCTTGGCTACTACCACACCAAACTTTAGCTCACTTTCTGTTAAACTGACTGTTTTAGCTCTTTATGTCTTTGATTAGCTGTGGAACCAAAGCACATAGCAGTGTGGGCCAGATCTGGAACTGATGTGGACCAGGTCTGGCACCAGGCTGGCAAGGCTGGTTGACTGCTTGTATGGCAAGTTGTGTGTCAACCAAATGTGGGCCAGTTTTGGCACTGATTTAAGATGGCACACCTCAGCTGGCCCAGTTGTGATTTGGTTTATGTGGCTCAGAACTGATGCTGGAACTGGCCCGGTCAAGGTTTAGTTTTAAGGTTGGTGTGTTGTGTGGGCCAGAACTGGGCCAGACACGATTTTTTTCTTTGTTATGTGTTTGTTAATAGGCTGGAGGATCATGCATTTTAAATTTATCTGTTAGCAAAATATCAGATTTAAAGACTGGACAGAAATGAATAAAATAATGAATGAACATAAAACAGGCTGTAAATCTGTCTGTTATATGAGCTAAAGTTYGGTGTGGTAGTAGCCGAAAGTCATCCTTGTCACTCAGTCCAGCTGGTTGTGTTCCTCTGATGGATAGTTTTCTTAAAATCTTTGGGTTTATTATATTTTTTCCAACTTTTCTGTTTTTATTTTAGTTTTCAATAAATAAATAAACTAAACTGAACATTTTCAATAAATAAAATCAATTCTTCATCCATAAACTCTCCAACCTGCTTTATTTACCTTCTCCGGGGGGCCCAGGAGGTGCGGCTCATTACGCAGGTTCTGGATCAGGCTTGGTCCTCCTGACGCAGGAGCAGGATCACTTTGGACCAGAACCCAGAGGAGGACCACCTTCAGGATCTGAGAGGATGAGGAGCGTCCTGGAGATAAAAACCAGCTCATGTCCGGAGCGGCGACGCGCTCAGCTCATCCCGTCTTTTTGAGTCCAAACCCGGGAGCCACAGAGAAGGATCGTGTGGAGGTCCGCCAGGGTCCGGTTCTGCTCCCTGCGATCAACACCCAGACCCCCCAGGGGCTCCTTCTGAGCGGCGGACCGGAATAAAGCTCCGTTTATCGGTTCACCTTGACAGCCTGACTCCTCCTCCTCTTCATCATCCAGTCCCTCCTCTTCATCAGGAGCAGGAGCAGGATCGTGACTCTGATGGATCAGATCCCTGGGGGGTTCCAAGGACGGACCCAAGAGGCTCGGAGGGGGTCCAGACTCAGACTGACTGAGACATCAAAGGAAATGAGGCGCTTGTCTTTTAAAGGGATATTTCAGATATTCTGAAGTAAAGTTCTGATAATAACTGAGCTTCAGCTCTTCTGCACCGCCAAAATAAAAGTTCTGATGAAAGTCCCCCAGCTGAGGTCAAAGGTCACATGACACAGACTTGGTCACCTGATCCGAGTCATCTCATTTGACTTTCAAACATCTGAAGTCAAATCCGGTTTGAGCCGGTTCTGAGAGAACAGAACATCTCAGCTGCAGGTTTCATGGTGGTTCTGCGGCTGGAGTTTCCCCTTTAAGATTCAGAAATCAGTTTTCTCTGTGTGGTGTTCTCATGAGCGGTCAGCATCTTACCTGCAGCAGACAGCAGCTCAGAAGTTGAAGTGTTGAGCTAACAGGAAGCATTTTAGAGTGAAATTTAACCCTTTAAACTTCAAATAGTACTAAAGGGCTAACAAAAAATCTGTAAAAAGAATAACTAAATGTAGCAAATAGCTTAAACATAGCAACAGTCTACTTACAAGCAAAAAGAAGCAAATGGCAAGCTAAAAATAGCAAAACAGTAGCTAAAAGCTAAAATTATGACAACAAAATCCTAAAAATAAAATTAACAGACCAGTAGGTAAATGTAAAAAGTAGCAGAAAGYTAGCTAGATGCTAAAAGTAGCAGAACAGTACAAAAAAGCTGAATGAAGCAAAAAAAGCTAAATGTAGTAAACTAGCTAAAAAAATGAAATGACAAATCTAGCTGAAAGCTAAAAGTAGCWTAAAGGTAAAACTACCAGATGCTTAAATAGCAGAATAGCATAAGCAAAAAGGCAAGCTTAACACTAAAGGCAAGCTAAAAATAGCAAATTAGTCACTGAAAGCTAAAAGTATGACAATAAAAGCTTAAAAATAAAATTAGCAGACCTGTAGGTAAATATAAAAAGTAGCAGAAACCTAGCGAAATGCTAAAAGTAGCAGAGCAGTACGAAAAAGCTAAATGAAGCAAAAAAAAAAAAAAAGCTAAATGTAGTAAAATTGCTAGCTAAAAATGAAACGACAAGCTTTAAGCTAAAAGTAGCATAAAGGTAAAACTACCAGATGCTTAAATAGCAGAAGAGCATAAGCTAAAAGTAGCAAAAGGCTCAGTGGCGGCTGATCAATAGGGGGCGCTGGTTCCCCCCGTATTTTTGGTACACAAAAACATAATAAAATAAAAGAAAATGTTATAAATGTTTCGACAATATATCGTGCATATGTTTTCTGATAAGCAAAATAAACAATTTATAGTTATTAATGTGTAAACTTCTATTTTACTTAACGTTCCAGCATTTTCAGGACCTTGGACAGTTCCTTCAGTTTTCGTGTGAGTCACTTCCGGGTCACGGCTGTGTTCGGCGCTACAGCTGAGTACGCCCGCGCAGCGGCAAATAGAAAGGGGGCGGGGTCGTGTCCGAGGCACCAGCGGCGGGTCCATCTACGTCAGTCATGTTCAGTACACCCAGTAAGCTAATGGAGGAGCTAGCTCATCTCTCATAACAACCTTTTTGATGAGAACAACCCAGGAGAAGGTTAAACCAACCTGGACATGAACAGATGGACATGAAGAGCAGCAGATCAAAGAAGAGGCAGAGTTTACACTCCGTCATTTTACAAGACTGGATTATAAACAAGGCTAAGCTAACCGCTAGTAGCGAGGCTAATGCTCGGTTTGGTTTTCTGCCTCGTTTTTCAAGCAAGATCTGATTCAGCATGGATTAAAACAGGTGAGAGAAGCTAAAATACATTTATAATGCTTGTTAATCATACATTATATATCAATGGTGAACACAACTTAGGAGTATATTCTTATGATGTTTATGTTTTTGACAGATATTAGAAGATGATTTTTCTTCTTTCTGCTGCCTTTCATTTTATTTATTTTTTCTTCTGTGTATAGAGTTTGCTTTTTAATTAAATTAATAGCTACATCTTAAAACAAAAATATAATAGAGGTACAACAATTTGTTGCTATTAAAGATAAGATAAGATAAAACTTTATTGATCCCACCGTGGGGGATATTTGTACATTACTGCAGCTCATTTATGGACGACTGAATCTGACATAACTGGAAATACACGTAGAAATAATKAAACGGCTTGATAAAAGAAATAAATGGCATGATAAATTAGTAATTAAGTAAGAATGTGGCAATTATTGCATAAAAACGTAAACAAATAAGAGCGCAATTAATTTATTTGACACTCACTCACTCAATCATTCATATATATAAATAT